AGAGAAGATCTCTCCAATTTTCTTCCTAAAGAATAGGAGCCTGACTGCCAACTTTCTGGCAGAAAGACAACGAAAGAGATTTGTGCAGGGTCTCACGATGCTGCGTGTAGATATTCACTTAACAACATCTCCCTTGGAATGTACCTAATGTTCTTATCTAGAGAAGTTCTGGTCAGATTTCTTTTCTTTTCTTTCTTTTTTTTTTTGAAAGAGAGTCTCACTCTGTTGCCCAGGCTGGAGTGCAGTAGCACAATCTTGGCTCACTGCAACCTCCATCTCCCGGGTTCAAGCGATTCTCCTGCCTCAGCCTCCCAAGTAGCTGGGACTACAGGCACGTGCCACCACGCCTGGCTAATTTTTTGTATTTTTAGTAGAGACAGGGTTTCACCGTATTAACCAGGATGGTCTCAATCTCCTGACCTTGTGATGCCTGCCTCAGCCTCCCAAAGTTCTGGGATTACAGGTGTGAGCCACTGCGCCTGGCCAGATTTCTTTAGAGAGTAAATTTCTGGGGACAGTGAGGAGACTTCTTGCCTACCTGCCAAGGGTGAGCAAGGGGACCCTGGAAGGGTCTCACTGCTTGTCTTAGATAGATTTTCAATGATTGTGCCTATTTTGAACCCTTTTATCAGCCCTGCCTTCAGCAATACCTTGCTTCTTTACACCCTGAGATTGTCTGTGGTTCTCAGCACTCCTTTCTGGCAGGCATGCGGATCTGCTGACACCTCTCATCCACTGTTGTCTCTTCTGTTTGAGGGTTTGTCTCCTCTTCTTTTCAGTTACTTTCCATTAGTGGTTGTGGAAGTCAGAACTTTAAAACGACACTCAAGTTTCCCACCCACTGGTGTACATGCTTTATATAATTCCCTCCACTGGAGTGTGGGTAGGATTCGTGACTATGATGGGATATCACTGCCATGACTGGGCTACGGAATACTTGACTTTCAGTTAATCTAAAGGGAGATTGTTCTGGGTGAGCCTGCCCTAATCAGCTGGACTTTTAGCAAGATGGTGAAGCACCACAGAAACATTAGAGCAGGCCTGGCCTGGAAGAAAGAAACCGCCGGGTTGTGAACTGCTATGAAAGGAGCTCATGGTTAGCATATGAGAGTGGCTCTTGGAGCTAAGAGTGGTCCCTGGCTAATGGCCAGTAAGAAAGTGGGGACTTCATCTCTACAACTCCAAGGAACTGAATTCTGCTCACAACCTGAATGGCCATGGCAAGAGGACCATGAGCTTCAGATGAAATCACAGCCCCAGCCACACCATGTTTCAGCCTGGTGACACCCTGAGTAGAGGACTCAACTAACCTGTACCTAGACTCCTGACACACAGAAACTGTGAGATCAATTAGTTTTCATTTAAGTCATTAAATCACTGATAATTTGTTAGGCAGCAATAGACAGCAGATGATGTGAGGTTTCAGAGGTAGAGGAAATAGATTACATCTATATGGTACATATGTTTTTATTCACTAGCATCCTTCCTTGAAGAAAACCATTCTACTGTACTCTGTAGTGCCAGTGGGGACGTCAATAGTGGTGTCCCCTCCTGTCTGACTATAAATGTGGATGGATGCCAACCAGCCACAGTGATTGTCTCAGGAATGGACATGTGTCTTAGTCTATTTGTGTTGCTATAAAGGAATACATGAGGCCTGGTAACCTATAAGAAAAGAAGTTTATTTGGCTCATGGTTCCATAGGCTGTATAAGCATGACACTTGCATCTCCTTGGGTCCTGGTGAGGCCCCAGGAAGCTTTTAGTTATGACAGAAAAGGAGAGCTGGTGTGTCACATGGTGAGAGAGGGGGCAAGAGAGATGCCATGCTCTTGTAAACTCTTGAGTGAACTAAGAACAAGAAGCCACTCATCACCAAGGGGATGGTGCCAAGCCATTCATGAGGGATCCACCCCCATGACCAAAACACCTCCCACTAGGCCCCAACCCCAACGCTGGGGATCAAATCACAACATGGGACTTTGCAGGGCTAAACAAACCATATCCAAACCATAGCAACATCTGAGTTCATTTGCACTGCTAAGAATCTCTCTTGGAGAGAGAAGATTGTTTTGCACTGGAGTTGTTAAAATGGAAAGATATGAACCTGGGGTGGCTGTATAAGTTATTTTCTGTTATGTTTCTGATGTTAACCAAAGCATTCTGATAATACATCCCATTTTATAGATTCAGAAACAATGATCAGAGATAATGAAGGATTTGACCAAGGAATTATAATGAGGCAGGTATTTGGGTTCCTACTGTCTAACTGAGAGCCAGAAATGTCTGGCACAGAAAAACTGTGAGAAGAAGCCTGGGCGTGGTGGCTCACGCTTGTAATCCCAGCACCTTGGGAGGCCAAGGCAGGCAGATTGCTTGAGCTCAGGAGTTTGAGACCAGCCTGGGCAACATGGCAAAACCCATCTCTACAAAAAAAAAAAAATTAGCCAGATGTGCCGGCATGTGTCTGTAGTCCCAGCTACCAGGGAGGCTGAGGTGGGAGGATCACTTGAGCCCAGGAGGTGAAGGTTATAGTGAGTCTACATCGTACCACCATACTCCAGCCTGGGTGACAGAGCAAGACCCTGTCTCAAACAAAAACAAAAACAAAAAAAAAACTGTGGGAAGACTTGCCTGCTCTGTCCACGATCCTTGCAGTTGTCACTTGGCCATAATGGTGTCATCATCTTGCCTCCATTTCCCCCCTCATCTTCTTCCTCTGTGTTATGTTTTGCTCTGCATCTGCGTAGGCCACAGAGCAAGGCAGAGGCCAACTCTAATATTAGAACAATGCCACTACCACCAACAGCAAATTTTCCTACATTCAGCATGTTTCCTATGCACAGAATTATATAGTAGACCAAGAATGGGTCTTAGAAATCTTATTCATACATTTATTTTGTAAATGACCAAATTAGTGCCCAGTGTGTCTTACCCCAAGATGGGCAACTTTTTGTGGAAGTGTTTAGAATAGACCACACATCGCCCGATTTCCAGTCCATGTTGACTTCCAGGGAGAGTTGGAGGATACTGGTATGAATGGTCATGGTCAAGGATGTCTTGTGACTCTGGTGTGAGGGAGTGGAAATGTGGCATGACAGATAGGCTGTTGAGGGTAAGTGGCAGGTCCTTTTCTTTTTTTCTTTCTTTCTTTTTTTTTTTTTGAGACAGAGTCTCCCTCTCGCTCTGTCGCCCAGGCTGGAGTGCAGTGGCACGATCTTGGCTCACTGCAAGCTCTGCCTCCTGGGTTCACACCATTCTCCTGTCTCAGTCTCCCGAGTAGCTGGGACTACAGGCACCCACCACTACACCCAGCTAATTTTTTTGTATTTTTATTAGAGACAGGATTTCACCGTGTTAGCCAGGATGGTCTCAATCTCCTGACCTCATGATCCACCTGTCTCGGCCTCCCAAAGTGCTGGGATTACAGGCGTGAGCCACCGCAACCAGCAGGTCCTTTTCTTGAGTTGAACTTTTATATTAGTTTTTCCTATATAACACAGTCCAGGGCTGTCTGCCATCTGGGAGACTCTTTAGATAGTTAGGGTAAACAGTTTAGACTGGCTTTGCTTGAGAACTTAGATTCAAGTATCTCTCCTCTTTCCTCCGTGTGCTTTTCCTCAGACATGTCTCTCCTTGTCTCTTCTTGCCACCAGAACACTAAGATTTAGAGGACTGATATTAAAATGTGGGCTTGAAGCAGGGATGATAAATGGGTTTCAACTTGTTTATCACTCCACCTGGTTTTTTTTTTTAAGTTACTTAAAGGCTGTTTTCAGAAGGAACTTTAGTATTTTTCCAGGCTCAGCATGAAAAAGCAAGTAATATGATTAATTGGTAATGTATTGTGACATGGCCATTGTTTTAAGTAGATTTCACAGAAACAGATTCTGAGACTCAGATAATTGTTTGCAGGGTGTTTATTAGGGAGTATGCTTGAGAACAAAATTGTAAGGTGGCTCATGCCTGTAATCCCCGCACTTTGGGAGGCCAAGCTGGGCAGATCGCCTGAGGTCAGGAGTTCGAGACCAGCCTGGCCAACATAGTGAAACCCCGTCTCTACTAAAAACACAAAAATTAGTTGGGTGTGGTGAAGCATGCCTGAAATCCCAGCTACTCAGGAGGCTGAGGCAGGAGAATCGCTTGAACCTGGGAGACGGAGGTTGCAGTGAGCTGAGATTGTACCACTGCACTCCAGCTGGGCGACAGAGCAAGAATCCTTCTTAAAATATAAATAAACAAAGCTTGTAAGGAAAGGAGGGAAGAAAGATGACACATTGTAGTTGCAACAAAGGCCTTAGCCAACCTCATAGGGAGCTCTGGAGCTGAGTTGTCCTAAATGTGTTGAAAGTTCCAGGCCTTAGCACTAACCCCTTCCCATCACTCACTCCAACGTTGACTATGGAGGTCTGTCTGCTTGGGAAAGGCAGCTTCCTTTGACCAAGGCCATTCCTGGAGAAGGATGCAATTATGAGCCATCGGTGGCCAACACCCCTGGTAGCTGGGGGAATGAATGCCTAGGTCCTGAAAGGGAGATCTAGGTGGCATACCACAGTATCCACTATAGCCACAGAAGTAGGAGTGGCTGTGCATGTGCCAGATGTTGGTCATTTCTGGCCTGTGGGAGAAGGCCAAAGAAATTGCTCTCCTGCTTTTAAATGTGAGCCTTAGGCCACGGCAGCAAGGTAAGACCGTGAAACACACAAAGTTCAGTCTAATTCACTAGAAGACCATATTGAGATCAGGACCAAAAGTCTTTGTTGTCATAAAGTGTCCTTGCACCTGGCCTTGAGTTTGCATACTTGGCAAACTCACATGGGGTGACAGTAGCTTCATTAGCAACTGGAGGGGATTGAGGAATTTGGGACTCCAAATTCTGATCATCTTTCTCAACATCCACATTGGAGACATGACTAACATCTATTTAACGCTAGCTCATTACAACTAACAATATGATTCTCCTTGGCTTACCCCACCCTCCCTCTCCCCCATGTCTCCTAGCTCTGAAGGTGTCCATGTTGGAGGGTATCAGGGCCCCAGCTTTCACTGGAGTCTTCACTAACTGTTGAAACAGCCCAGGACAAATGTGAGTCTGAACCCTGCATAGGCGGTCATTTGATGCCCAGGCTTCTCTACAATTCTATTTATTCCTAATATCCTCCCAAATCCCTTAAATCTTCTCCCAACCCTGTAACTGTAAGAAAGCCCAGGTACCACTTATCTATGGAGTCAGAGTTGGGATCAGAATGTTCTACTAGGCCAGGACAACAGATGTACTTGTTCTTCCACCCAGGTGACATGATACGGTGTTTATGCCAAAACTTCAACTTTCCCAACGTAAATAATGGATGGCCTCAATAGCAGCCTGCCATTTACACTTCTCTGCTTAAGATTAAGTCCCTTTCCCCCTTATGACTAAAGAACAGCAGTGATCATACACCTAAATATGAAGCTAAACCTGCAAACCTTCTAGGAGAAATGATAGAAAAATATTTTTATGACTTTAGGGTAGGAAAACATTTCTTTCTTTATTTTTATTTATTTATTTATTTATTTTGAGATGGAGTACCACTCCCGTTGCTCAGGCTGGAGTGCAATGGTGTGATCTCGGCTCACTGCAACCTCCGTCTCCCAGGTTTAAGCGATTCTCCTGCCTCAGGCTCCCAAGTAGCTGGGACTACAGATGCCCGCCACCGCACCCCACTAAGTTTTTTTGTATTTTTAGTAGAGACAGGGTTTTACCATGTTGGCCAGGCTGGTCTTGAACTCCTGACCTCAGGTGATCAGCCCGCCTCGGCCTTCCAAAGTGCTGGGATTACAGGCGTGAGCCAGTGTGCCCAGCCAGGGTAGGAAAACATTTCTAAGACAAGTCACAAAAGGCATAGGAGACAAAATTGAAAATTAAACTTCACTAAAATTAAAAACCTCTGCCTATCAAAAGACGCCATTAAGAAAGTGAAAAGGAGGCTGGGCGCGGTGGCTCACACCTGTAATCCCAGCACTTTGGGAGGCCGAGGCAGGTGGATCACCTGAGGTCAGGAGTTCAAGACCAGCCTAACATGGAGAAACCCCGTCTCTACTGAAAATACAAAAATTGGCCGGGCGTGGTGGTGCATGCCTATAATCCCAGCTACTAGGGAGGCTGAGGCAGGAGAATCACTTGACCCCGGGAGGCAGAGGTTGCGGTGAGCCGAGATCATGCCATTGCACTCCAGCCTGGGCAACAAGAGCGAAACTCCGTCTCAAAAAAAAAAAAAAAAAAAAAAAAAAAAAAAAAAAAAAGTGTAAAGGTGTATTTTATTTTTATTTTCTCTAATTATCTATATTTAGATATTATTATCTAAAAAGAATACAGATATTTGATAAAGGACTTTTATAACCACATCTGTTTTAAAAACTCCTGCACACCAAGAATAAAAAGACAAGCAATTCTCCTTAAAAATGAGCAAAAGATTTGAATTGGCACGTTGCAAAAGAAGATAACTGAAAGGCTATAAAGTCTATGAAAAGGTCCTCAACGGCCGGGCGCGGCCTGTAATCCCAGCACTTTGGGAGGCCGAGACGGGTTGGGAGGCCGAGACGGGCGGATCACGAGATCAGGAGATCGAGACCATCCTGGTTAACACGGTGAAACCCCGTCTCTACTAAAAAATACAAAAAACTAGCCAGCCGAGGTGGCGGACGCCTGTAGTCCCAGCTACTCGGGAGGCGGAGGCAGGAGAATGGCGTGAACCCGGGAGGCGGAGCTTGCAGTGAGCTGAGATCCGGCCACTGCACTCCAGCCTGGGTGACAGCGCGAGACTCCGTCTCAAAAAAAAAAAAAAAAAAAAAAAAAAAAGAAAAGAAAAGGTCCTCAACATAATTATTCATCAGAGAAATGGAAATTCAAACCACAATGAGATACCACTACAAACAAGGCAGAATCAATAAAATTAAAAGGACTGACAATTACATGATAGTTAGGATATGGAGGAGCTGGAACGCTCATACATTGCTGGTGGGAGCATACAATGGCGAACCACTATAGAAAGTGGTTTGGCAATTTCTCTTTTTTTTTTTTTTTTTGAGACAGAGTTTTGCTCTTGTCACCCAGGCTGGAATGCAGTGGCGTGATCTCGGCTCATTGTAACCTCTGCCTCCTGGGTTCAAGTGATTCTCTTGCCTTAGTCTCTCTAGTAGCTGGGATTACAGGTGTGCACCACCAGGCCTGGCTAACTTTTGTATTTTTAGTAGAGATGGGGTTTCACCACGTTAGCCAGACTGGTCTCAAACTCCTGACCTTAGGTGATCTGCCCTCCTCAGCCTCCCAAAATGCTGGGATTACAGGCATGAGCCATGCCCGGCCGGGTTGGCAATTTCTAACAAAGTTAAACCTGTATCTACCTTAATGACTCAGCAATTCCACTTCTGCATATATACCCATAAATAAGTGTATATGTGCATAAAAAGATTTGTTTGTGAATGTTTATAGCAGCCTTATTCATAATAGCCCCAAGGTGGAAACAACCAAAATATCCACCAATAGGAAAGTGGATAAACAAATTGTGGTATAATAATACAATGAAATACTACTTAGCAGAGAAAAAGAACAAATCATTGATATAAGCAAAAATATGGAAGATGTTCAAAAACATTAGTTGGAATGAAAGAAGTCAGATACCATTAAAAATATATACTGTGTGATCCCATGATATAAAATTTAAGAACAAAAAAACTATTGTGATAAAAGTCAGAATGCAATTTGTGTGAGTATTAACTGGAGGCAGAAAGGGAGTTTTGGGGGTGATGAAAATGTGCTACATCTTTATGTAGAAGATGATCATACAGAGGTGTATATATACAAACATTCATTGATTTTTTTCAATGTCAAAATTCATCTTAAGATGTATGCATTTTACTACACATAAATTATACTTCAATAAAGTAGTGGTAAATGAATAAATAATCATAACATAAAAATTAAAAGTCTGAAAACAATTGCTGATAATCCAGTCATCCATTAATAGTCTCCCCAGTCTTATTTCAGTGTATATTTATGTGGATAAAATTTATCACACATATATATTTTATTTTGCTTTTCCCCCTTATCATCATATCATAGCACTTTCTCATGACATTAAAAACTTCTTAGCCGGGTATGGTGGTGCATGCCTGTAGTTTCAGCTACTCAGGAGGCTGAGGCGGGGGATCACTTGAGCCCTGGAGTTTGAGACCAGCCTGGGCAACAAAGTGAGACCCTGTATCTACAAAAAGAAAAAAAATAAATTAGCTAGGCAGACATGGGGGCACTTGCCTGTAGTCCCAACTACTCGGGAGGCTGAGGTGGGAGGATCACTTGGGCCGGGCAGTCTGAGGCTGCAGTGAGCTGTGATTGTGCCACTGTACTCCAGCCTGGGCAACAGTCAGTCCCTATCTAAAAAAAAAAGTTGGGGGGAGTGAAGCAGCAAAAACTAAAAACTAACATCTTGAATCTCTGCCTAGTGGCATAGTGCCCTGGCATCCTGATGTGGCGGTGCACGTAGTTCCAGACTGACTTGTCATTTATCAGTAAACGTGAATGGACATTCTCCTCTGCAGAACTCTGGAGGCAGTACAAGAGAGAAGACAGACTGAGGTGAGGATAGCGTTGTTCCTGCTTTTCTAAACGGATTGTTGAGGGAGGAGGGAAGAATTAAGAAAAGCTTCGCAGAAGAGATGATGTTTTCACTGGTCTGAAGGAAGAGTAGGGTTTGCTGGGCAGAGGGGAACCGCAGGGAATAAGCAAAGGCATGGAAGCACAGTGTTACAAGGTGCTGGGATCATGGAAGTGTTTAAGCATTACAGTGACATTATAATATTTGTGTTTAGAATTCTTCTCTGGAAGTGTTCTGGGCCAAGGAGGATGATTGTATGTGGAAATATTGAGAGATATTAGGGACAGGCAGAAAAAATAAGGGACTCCCGATAATAGACAAGATTAGTGGAACTGGGGTGGAGGAAATGTATTTCGGAGGTATTTGGGGACAAGGTTTTATGACAACTGGGCCCTGAAGGTGAAAGGGAGAAATTTTATTCAATAACAACTTCCTGCTGAATTTACAATCCTGGCTATGCCATTGACTAATTGTATGACTTTTGACAAGTTTCTTAACCTATGACGGCTTCAGTTTCCAACCTGTAAAATAAAGACACTGGACTAGATTAGGACTAGATTGGATTCATGATTGCACCTTCTCCTCCTGTATCAAAGGCAGTTGTTGATATTGAACACGGTCTTTTTCCTTGCTGAGCTGGGACAGGACTCCAGGCAACCACCACCAATGATCTGGAAGAGTTGAAATCTATATGCTTGCCCTGGACATAATAATCTCCAAGGTTATTCCCAGTTCTAAAAGTATTTTTATAAATTTCATAATAACGGGCAGGTACAGTGGCTCACACCTGTAAGTCCAGCATTTTAGGAGGTCAAGGCGGTTGAATTGCTTGAGCTCACGAATTAGAGACTAGCCTGGGCAACATGGCGAAACCCTTCTCTACAAAAAATACAGAAGTTAGCCAGGCATGGTGGTGCACACCTGTAGTCCCAGATACCCAGGAGGCTGAGGTAGGAGAAGGATTGCTTGAGCCTGGGAGGGGGAGATTGCAGTGAGCAGAAATTGCACCACTGATGCCTGTAATCCCAGCTACTTGGGAGGCTGAGGTAGGAGAATCACTTGAACCCAGGAGGTGGAGGTTGTGGTGAGCTGAGATTGCGCCATTGCACTTCAGCCTGGGCAACAAGAGCGAAAGTCCATCTCAAAAAAAAAAAAAAAAAAAAAGAGAGAGAGAGATTGCATCACTGCACTCCAGCCTGGGGTATAGAGCCAGACCTTGTCTCAAAATAAATAAATAAATAAATAAATAAATAAATAAATAAATTACACATTCTTCAAATGGGAAGTGGAATTAGAAAAACTACTATTAAATTAGGACCTGTAAGTAGTGCTATAATGTGAACTTATTCCCACATTTGGGGGATTTGATTTTAATGAAAGGAATTTCTCATAGACTGTAAATAGTAATCAATACTAAATGATGAAAATGACAGTTGATTCCCTGTAATTAAGATAATTCCTTAGTTCCTATCATTTTCACAACCATATTCTCAGATGAGTTTATCATCTAAAAATATACATAAAGAAATAAAAATACAAGCCTTCTCTTGAACTCATTTTATTTGTTTGCTTAGTTATGTATTCATTTTTGGTAGGACAACATACATTTAACTATGTATTAATCCTGAGTACAAGTAAAAACTGCTTGTGTGTGTGTGTGTGTGTGTGTGTGTGTGTATACATATATATATATATATATATTTTTTTTTTTTTTTTTTTTTGAGACAGAGTCTCACTCTGTCGCCCAGGCTGGAGTGCAGTGGTGCCATCTCGGCTCACTGCAACCTCCGCCTCCCGGGTTCACGCCATTCTCCTGCCTCAGCCTCCCGAGTAGCTGGGACTATAGGTGCCCGCCACCGTACCCGCCTTATTTTTTGTATTTTTAGTAGAGACGGGGTTTCACTGTGTTAGCCAGGATGGTCTAGATCTCCTGACCTCGTGATCCACCCGCCTCGGCCTCCCAAAGTGCTGGGATTACAGGCGTGAGCCACCACGCCTGGCCTTATAATATTTTTAAAGGCAGAAGTGAGAAGTTTCTGAAACCTAAGTGAAAAGATTTTTCTTTCTTCAAATAGGAGCACATCTCTGGTTTTTTTTGTTTTAACATTTAAATAATGTGTTCAGCATTGCCTATCAATAGCTTGATTTGAAGAATTTGCTGATTTCCCTGGTGTAACTGCTGCCACCACCATGGCTCATTGCCAGCTGCAACATGACGTCATTGAGCACAAAGTAGGAACCTGGCTCTCTTGAGCTGGAACTAGCCAGCTCCGGCAAATCAGCAGTGGTTTGGATTCTTCTCCTTTCTCTCCGCTATTTGCTTTGCTTAGGCTGATACTATTGGCCAATTGGCTATATCCCACCTGAAGAAGTATTTTGTCTGGCTGCCACATTATTTTTGTTTTAAATTTAGATATAAATGTCTTTAAATGGAATGTGCTATTTCCAGGTCAGGTGCAGTAGTTCATGCCTGTAATCCCAGCAGTTTGGGAGGCCGAGGCGGGTGGATCACCTGAGGTCAGGAGATCGAGACCAGCCTGGCCAACATGGTGAAACCCCGCCTCTACTAAAAATACAAAAATTAACCAGGCATGGTGGCCAGCGCCTGTAATCTCAGCTACTAAGGAGGCTGAGGCAGGAGAATGGCTTGAACCTGGGAGGAGGAGGTTGCAGTGAGCCAAGACTGCGCCATTGCACTCCAAGCTGAGCAACAAGAGTGAAACTGTTTCAAAAAAAAAAGAACGTGCTGTTTCCCCCAGCCACAGACTCTGCCACTTACAGTGTCCCACACCAAGCCCACCAAGCCCACCTAGCTCCTGGGGCATTTGTTTGTGACTCCTGGTTTATACCATTGTCATCCCATCTGTCCTGCTGCTCCTCCCTTGGCACCACCCACAGACTCTGTCCCTGTCCTCACCTTTCTTCATGGAGAACACCGGTACATTCTGTCTCCTTTTTTTTTGAGACAGAGTCTCGCTCTGTCGCCCAGGCTGGAGTGCAGTGGCGCGATCTCGGCTCACTGCAAGCCCCACCTCCCTGGTTCACACCATTCTCCTGCCTCAGCCTCCCGAGTAACTGAGACTACAGGCGCCTGCCACCATGCCCAGCTAATTTTTTTTTTTTTTTTTTTTTTTGTATTTTTAGTAGAGACGGGGTTTCACTGTGTTAGCCAGGATGATCTCTATCTCCTGATTTCGTGATCCGCCCGCCTCGACTTCCCAAAGTGCTGGGATTACAGACATGAGCCACCAAGCCCGGTCCATTCTGTCTCCTCTTAAGTCAAGAGTTTTGTAGTTTACTCTGAATCCTAAGGCCTTAGTGAATGTCTAGTACATACTATGTACTCAATAAATCTCAAGTAATATGTGAATGAACAAATAAACGTTTACTTATTTCATGAGCGGACTTTGTGTACAAAGCACTGTGTCAAGGCTAAGTACTTTCTAAGAAATGATTCCTTTGAAATGTGAACGTCCTCCAAGATATTTAAAAATTAAACAATAGCCAAATAAAAATGTTACATGTTAGACAAAACCCACTTTTGCCTGAGGGCATCTATCTAGTATCATCATTTCACTCACATTAAATAAAGATAGCCCATGTTTTAGAAATAGTGACAGGTCCTGATGTCTAATAATAAGCAAACCTGTAAGTAATATTGTGCAATTAATAATAACAACAATCATGTTATATTGCTATAGTATTTTGTAAATTTCGTAGTTCTAATTTTGTTCCACCTTTAAATTTATTTATTTTTATTTATTTGTTTTTTTGAGACAGGGTGCTCACTGTGTCGCCCAGGCTGGAGTGCAGTCATGTGATCTCAGCTCACTGCAACCTCCATCTCCTGGGTTCAAGCGATTCTCCTGCCTCAGCCTCCCAAGTAGCTAGAATTACAGGTGTGTGCCACCACACCCGGCTAAATGTTTGTATTTTTTATTTATTTTTATTTTTTTGGGATGGAGTCTCGCTCTGTCACCCAGGCTGGAGTGCAGTGGCATGATCTTGGCTCAGGGCAAGCTCCACCTCCCAGGTTCACGCCATTCTCCTGCCTCAGCCTCCTCAGCAGCTGGGACTACAGGTGCCCGCCACCATGCCTGGCTAATTTTTTGTATTTTTAGTAGAGACGGGGTTTCATCGTGTTAGCCAGGAAGTCTCGATCCCCTGATCTTGTGATCTACCCACCTCGGCCTCCCAAAGTGCTGGAATTACAGGCTTCAGCCACAGCGCCTGGCCTGTATTTTGTTTTTTTTTTTTTAGTAGAGATGGAGTTTCACCATGTTGGCCTGGCTGGTTTCAAACTCTCACTTTTAAAACTTTATTGAACTACTATCATGAGCCAAGCATTATGTTAAATTCACCACCCTTTTAAGACAAAAACTCTCAACAAACTAGAAGCAAAAGAGAATTTCCTCAACCTAATAAAGCCTATCTGTTAAAAAAAACCCACAGCTAACATCAGACTTAATGATGAAAGACTGAATGCTGTCCCTCTAAGATTAAGAACAAGACAAGGACGTTCACTCTTACCACTTTTTTAAAAAAATTAAATGCTGGATATACAGTAGTAAAGAAAATATATGATAAGTATATAAGGAAGGTTATAGACTCTTTTCCTTATTTCGTGTTCAGTGACATTGTGTTGGCAGCTTGAAATCAGCCATGGTGGTGGCATTGTTTACATCATGGAAACTGGCTAATGCTACAAATGAGGCTATTGGTAGGTATATATATGGAAGGTAAGATAAGGAAGGTAATATGTACATAATCCAAATTAGAAAGGTGGCTTACTACACTTGAGCTCCGCAGGGTGGGAAAGAGCCAGTCAGACAAAACCTAGGGGAAGAGGCCTTCCCAGCAGTGGAAACCAGTACTTGCGATAACCTTGAGCTGGCAAAGGGACTAGTGCATTCAGGAGCTTATAAAACACCAGTAGCAGACTGACAGGTGAGTGGGCAGGGGGAATTTGGAGTGTAGAAAGGGTTCTTCACGTGGGACCTAACAGGCTAAGATAAGGAGTTTGGGTTCTATTCAAAATGCAGTGGGAAAAAGATCAACAAAATTGACAATTAGCTAGACTGACCAAGAATAAAAGAGAGAAGAATCAAATTCTACAATCAGAAACAAGAGAGGGGATATCACTACCAAACTTACAGAAGCAAAAAGGATTATAAGGGAATACTATTAACAATTTTATGTCAACAAATTAGATAACCTAGGTGAAATGGACAGATTCTTAGAAAGACACAAGCTACTAAAATGGAATCAAGAAGACATGGAAAAACTGAACAGACCTTTAACAGGTAAAGAGATTGGAGATAGTAATAAAAACAAACAAACAAAAATTTCCCATGAAGAAAACCTTAGGCCCAAATAGCTTTACTAGTGAATTCTACCAAACATTTAAAGAGGCATTAACATCAATCCTTCACAAACTCTTCCAAAAAAGGAGAGAATAGTTCCCAAATGATTCTACGAGACCAATATTACCCTGATACCGAAACTAGACAATGGCATGACTAGAAAACTATAGATCAATATCCCTTA